GAGGAGGAGGAGAGAGGGAGACTGATGGAGGAGGAGAAGGTAGGAGGGAGACTATGGCAGACGAAAGGAGCCTGATGTGGAGGACGAGAGAGGGAGCTATGGCGAGGAAGGAGAGAGGGAGACTATGTGGAGGGAGGTTTACTGATGGAGGAGGATGGGGGCAAGAGGGAGACTGATGTGGAGAGGTGGTGGAGGAAGGAGAGGGCGACTATGTGGAGGGAGCAAAGACTGATGGAGGAGCAACAAGAAGAAGAGCAAGAGAAAGTAGAAGAAACGAAAAGAAGAAAAATAACCAAAGAGACTAAGAGGATCGACGCAGATCGACGGCCAAGGCACAAAAAAAAAAAAGCCATGAAACAGGGCCTACCAGGTCCTGAAAAATTTTGTGGCCGCCGCCTAATTTTTTTTCCCCCTTTGGGCCGTAGGCCTGTGGTGCCAAATTTTTTTTTTTGAGGTTTTTGGGGGGTGGCGCTGAGGGTGCCCGGGTGCCTGCCCGGGGGGGTCGCCCGGCCGAGCGACCCGGGCGCCCTTCCGGGCGACCTGGGGGGGCCCGGGCGCCCGGGCTGGAAAGCCTATAAGGTCGTGTTTGGAAGTCGTTGGATTTCCGTGACGGTCGAAACTGGTCAATCGACTGTCCACAACTTTTGGTGATTTGAAATCAGTTGCCGTTGGCTGTTTTTTGCTTTCCTCTGGATCCCGTGTTTTTACTGCCTTGGTTTTCAAGCTTCTATTTCCTTAGTATTATGAGTGCAAAGAAAGAGGATTACCAACCCGTCTGTTCGGCTTGCAAGGTTTTCTGTTAGTTTTTACGTCCTTGGATTTGCTTCCGGAAAAGACTCTTCTGTTTTAAAACACAATACTACTTCCGATGTGCACTGTTGGCTGGTCGTTTTGTCATGCACTGAAATCTCCATAAATTGGAGATCTTTTCGTCGTCCATGAGTAGGAGTCACCTGTTCTCCTCGAAAATGGGCTATTTTTCCACGTTGTTGTTGGCCTCAGCTATCTGTTAATTTATAGGGGGTGTTTCGATGATATTTGCGCACGAAACGGAGCAAAATTGACCTTTACTTCTCCAAAAATGCTATGTTTCATTACTGTTTTCCTGTCTATAGGATTTCTCTGGTTTTGGTTTGTTTCTCTGGTTTTCACGAATCCATTGTTCCTTCGGGTGTTCGACGCAATAGCTACTTCGCTACAGCACGAATGTTCGAAGATCACTTCGGGTTGGGTCCGGCAAAAAAAGGCTCGGATCGAAAAGCCTCTTCCTCTGCTTCGACCTCCCGTCGCTCTGGGCAAGCTCAAGCAGGCCGGGGCGAGGAAGAAGTGTCAATAAAAGAGGTCGCGGCGCAACTAGTTACGGTAGTGGCCCCGTTGACGGAGTTTGTTCAAGGTCTACAGCGACAACGCATAGCCGCCGCACAATGGCAACAGGCGGCTATGGCCGCCGGGGCCCCTATGATAAGACCGGCCGTGGCCGGGCCTGTTCTGCCCCTACGCTGTTATAACTGTAATCAGCCAGGCCACCTTGCGAAAGATTGTCTGAAACCTCGAACTCAAGGTGGGCCCGCTGGGCCCACCGGACCTTCACAAATCCCGCTGGCCGCTCCAACCGCTGCAGGACAGGGGAGGGTAGCCACGGTAATGGACGCTGGAACGACGGAGATGGTGACCCCTGCGGCCACCGAGATAGGACCCGATGAGTATATGGTGGCGGCGATGTTCGAACCCGGGACCATCGGAGTGATACGTCACGTCCAAGGGATTACCGAGGAGAGCGACCTCGGGCCGTGGCGACCAGGGTTCGAAGATCTTGCGGCACCTGACCCTGAATACAAGGATGGCCATATCGACGTATTGGATGCCTTGAAGGCTCTGGATCTACGGATCCCCGTCCCTATTCCTTATCTGCTAACTATTTTCGAAGTGGCTAACGAAAAGTTGATCGAACGATGCCTCAAAAACAGGCTTCGATTCGAGGAAAATCGAAAGGGCAAGAAACCGGTCCTACGGGACCTACCCACAAACGAGGAGTCGCAACCCTCGACCTCAAAAGTGCCCGAAGCCAACCGGATAGGAATGATCCAGACCGTAGATCCTGCCTCATAAAAACCCGAGGTATTCCTCTGAACCTATCCTATAACCTGGAAAAGCGTTGAGTGTGACTGCGAGGTCTGGGGGAACCCCTCGGCCGCCATCCTAGACTCGGGGTCGTCATCGGTCGCCATTTCTTGGAGATTGACGAAACAATTGGGAAGGGAAGGACAGGTTCAGCCCCTCCGACCGGATGAACTGTATATATCCGCTATGGAGGATAGTATTCATTGTAAAGGGCGAATAACGAACGTGCCTATACGGGTGGGGCGGGTGCATTGTTTGTGCGACGCAATCGTGCTGGATGTGCAGGCGTATGATGTTCTGTTAGGCATCCCGTGGCAGGCGGCTGTCGGAGCGCGAATGCACTTTGACAGCTGTAAGGTGGTGCTCACCTCAGCCCACCCCAAACCACAAACGATACCCATGAGATTGGCGGTGCGTATGCGCACCCAGTTGGCGCCTCGAATCACCACGAGAGCCCATCAAATTAACATGATCCGACGCCTGTCACCAGACGAAAACGAAACCTCGACGAAAACCGACGAGACTGATGTACCCGACCGATATCCGATCCGGGTTCAGGATCGGTGGCGCCATTCTTGGCGGCGAGAACCCCTGGAAATAGTTCGAAGCGAGTCCAATTGGTCGCGCGCGTTTTCCTCCGTGGTGCAGGGGGAACCCCTGTTGAGGGTGTTCCGAATAGCTGACCTTTCGGAACCCCCTGCGTCCTTATATCTCAGGACGGACCCCCTACCTGAAAGGTTTACCGAGCTGAGGGGGCTGTGCGATTTATCTCTCCAACCCCCACGACCCCTACTCACGAATGAAAAAACCGCGATACTCTTGAAAGTGGGGGTGTCGTTTCAACCCCGAACAAGGGAGTATCGGTGGGGACCAAGTGAACTGATGCCGGCCTTGTCGGTAGAACCCTCGGCCGAACCCGAACTGGACGGTGACAGTGACATGGAAAGCGAGCCGATGAGTCCAGCGGACAGTCAACTTATTGCGACTATCCTTTCGACGAAAACCGACAACTCTTTGTTTGGGGCCTCTTCCGATGCCAGCGCAGCGGTCCCCACAGTTACGACGACGGTCTCCCTTCCTGGGGGAACAATAGAAGTTCAGTTACCAGCCCGTGTTCCGGATGAATTCAGACGCCTCCTCCTGGCGGTTATAAGGGCCTATCCTGAGGCCATCAGTATTCAGGACCACGACATAGGGCTAACCCCTTTGATACAACACGCGATTGATACCGGGTGTCACGCCCCGATACATTGTCGACCGTACCAATATTCCCTTAAAGAAAGACAGCTGGCGTTGGAAAGGGTACGGGAATTCGAGCGGTTGGGGTGGGTCGAACCATCGCTGGGACCGTGGTCTTTTCCCGTGGTCCTCGTGCCAAAACGAAATGGTTCGGTCCGGGTATGTATCGACTACCGAAAATTGAACGCTATCACTACCAAAGATGTGTATCCCTTGCCGCGGATCAACGATTTACTAGATGCTATCAGAGCCGCTCGAGTCTTTTCCAAGTTCAATATCCGACACGGTTTTCACCACGTCGCAGTCCGACCGGAGGACCAACCCAAAACCGCTTTTGTCCTATTTGAGGGCACGTGGCAATGGGTCCGGTGTCCCATGGGAATCTGTAACGCCCCTGCAACATTTAATTGGGCCATGAATATGGCCTTCGCTGAGTTCGTTAACAAAACCCGACTAACCCAGCCCCTGATCAATTTCTGAGTGATTGTGTACATGGATGATATTTTGGTCTTTTTAAAAACACATGAGTACCACATGGAACACATTGAGTGGGTTTTGCATGCACTAAAAGATGCGGGGTTCAAAGTGGCCTTGGAGAAAAGCGAGTTCTTCTTGTCAGAGATCTCATTCTTGGGGTACATCATCACGGTCGATGGACTAAAACCGGATCCGAGGAAGGTGGCAGCAATTCAGGAAGCCCCGGTGCCGGTCACACTCACCCAGGTTCGGGCTTTCCTAGGGCTGGCATCCTATTACCGACGCTTCATCAAGGGGTTCGTCGGTATAGCGAAGCCCCTCACGAACCTGCTGAAGAAAGAGGAACAGCTGATCTGGACGCCGGAATGCGAAGTGGCGTTTCAGGCGTTGAAGGAGGCCCTGACCTCTGCTCTGGTGTTGGCGCGTCCTGACCCGACAAGACCGTTCGCACTGTACACCGACTGACAGCTGCAGGCGATATCGGCGGTGCTGACTCATCACGGGCCGGACGGAAGGGAGCACGTCATTGAGTATGCGTCCAAGACGCTGAGCCAGGCGCAGGCTAATTACGAAGCGTGCAAAGGCAAATGCCTGGCGGTGGTATAGGGGATTCAGCATTTCCGATTGTATCTTTACGGCCAGAAATTTGTGCTGGTAACGGATCATCAGTCGCTGCTGTCCTTACGCAACAACACAGACTACACGGGGACGCTGGGCAGGTGGGCGGTGCGTCTGCAAGACTATGACTTCGACATCCGCCATCGTACCACGCGGCAGCATGGTAACGCCGATGGATTGACGCGCCTCCTGCCGCCCAACAAGTGTCCCGACAACGAGCGACTCATTCCGTGGAGGCCAGAAGTCGCGGCGACGAAACCACACTTCGGGGAGCTACACGTGCTGTGCAAGGACGACGCCTGAGTCCAGAATGGAGGTTTCGCCAGAGATGGCAGACGGTATTTCTTTGCCCTCATCCAACTCCCTCGCCCTCTCGTCTAGCCCCTGCTCGTCCCCTGAAACACATCTAAGTCCCTGTTTTTTTTGTACCTTCCCTATGGTCCCGGACCAAGAAGGGTCACATCCGGGAGGGCCCAGTTTTCTTTTGTGGGTGCAGTGTAGTCAGTGTCAAGCGCTCAAGTCCCACAGGCAATGCGTTAGGTACCGAAGTGAAAAGACGTGGGTCTGTCCCAACTGTAGAACGGACCAAGTCCCGACCGAGAAATGGTATTTGGATGCACGAACAGCCGACGGATTTGCGCCAAGTGTCCGCCGGGCAGAGGTCTGGACGGACCTTTTGTTGCTACGAAGGCTGTCAGGCGACTCGCTGTCGGAACTTACCAAAGCCGAGAGGGGGAGAGCCACGGAGCGGGCGCAGGACTATCGCTGGCAAGGACCGACGTTACAAAAACGAAAAGTCAATGATGACGGAGGGTCTAGCTGGTTGACAGTTCCACACCCTCTCGCTAGGTTCGATTGGACACGAGCCGCTCATGAAGAGGATGCGGTCCATTTCACGGTCAAGTACACGGAAAAAGCCATCGAAAAGAACGGATGGTACTGGTCGGGAATTTGGAAAGATGTGAAATACATCGTCCAGAATTGCCTGGCCTGCGCGGCGGACAAGATGCCGGTACAGATGCCTCGGACGATGGTGCCCACTCGTGTAGAGCGCCCCCTTTCAGAGGGTTAGCATCGATACGACGGATATCAACGTTCCGAGAGGTCCCGTCGATCAGGGAGAACTCAATGTTCTTTTGGTAGTCGTCGATCATTTTTCAAAATGGATCGAGGCGTACCCTATGACCAGCCGGAATTTGCAGGAAGTAGACTGGTACGTAAATGGATTTTTGTGCATGCATCTAAACGTAGAAGAGGTACACATGGACAATGGGTCGGAATTTCAAGGAGAAGTCGAAAGTCACCTAGTTCGGGCGGACGTCAAGATTATCTACTCGTCGGGGCATTGGCCGCAAGCCAATGGCCTGGTAAGAATGCCAACCGACTGATTAAGACCGCCCTCAGACGGAATATCACCGCGGGAGACATCCGTCCCTGGCCTGTCATTGTCGACCACATTTTGGCGGTTTATTGGGCTACTCCACACGGTAGTACGGGGGTGTCCCCCTTTCAACTGAGAACCAATAGTGTCCCTCGGGTGAAGTTGTCCCCCTTGGTAGGTACGGAAGTTAGAGCAACACGGGCCCAACACAGAGATAAGGCCCGCCACTACGTGGACTTAATGGCTAGGGCCTATCCCGCGTTAGCCCGTCGTCGACAGCGGGCCGTAGATCGGACGCATCAACGGCAAATCCGTGACTACGAGAATCGGCACGCGTCGGCGGGACCACTGCCCCGTTATACAGTGGGGGACTTGGTGCAGGTACGGAAATCCGCGCGCTCCTCCAAGATCCACCCGCGCTACACAGGCATTTATGAGGTAACGGAAGTTGGCGCACAGGAACAGCACTCTGTGAAGCTGATTCCCCGTCACAACTCCCAGGCCCGACCGTTGACACGGCACGCTGCCGCTCTCCGGCATCTTCAGCTATCGCTGCATCTCTTGCGGCCACCTGTCCTGCCCAAAGCATCTTCTTCGTCCTCTCTCTCCTTCTTCGTCTTCCTCCTCTTCCCGATCTGCCTCGTCCATTGGTGCTGAGAGTTCCAGGGAGCAGAATGAACCATCGCCAGTCGGAGCATGAGCCCCTCGAACATTTCCAGACGACGCTTGCAGATCGCTTGTTGCGGCATCAGTTCAATGAGGAAAGGCAGTTGCGGTACGACATTCAGCAGGTGAACGTGCCAGCGCCCGGGGTGGCTGATCTGGTGGCGTACTCGTGCTTTGCGATCGGCTGACGTATGCGGGAGTGTACGTGGACGTAACGCAACTGCCGGGGCGGGAGACGACTCGGGTGTTCATCAAGTTTCGGGCGCTCCAGGTGGCACCTAACTTCGTGCATAGCGTCGCCACCTTCATCGGAGACTTGACGATCCTGCCGCCGCCGAGTCGAAAGCTGGCGCGGAGTTTTGTGCGCGAATACACGGTGCAGGCGGCCAGATCAGTGGCCAGAGTGCAAGGACGGGGGGGACACCGATTCACGGCCCACGAAGCGCTGTTGCGCAGAGCCGAGGACAGACCAATCGCGTTGGTGCCACAACTCCCCGCGCTTCTTCCTCCCGATGCCCCTCTCAACATCCAAGCTATTCCCCCTGCCCCGTACTAAATGCCTCCCTTCTTCTCTTACACCACTCTCCCCTATCAGCTCACGGAGGGCCCCTATCCTATGCGCGAGTTCTCAGAGTACTTGGTGGAGCTAACTGACGTGGAGCCGCTGCCCTTCGCAGACGAAGACGCGTGGGAGTTGCACCAGGCGCTGTACAAGTCGGTGGCGTTGGGGATGTTCCGATTCTTCGTGGATCACGAAGACCACTGCATCGGGGAGCACTTCGTCGTCTACTACGTCATCACACGGCCCAAGCCAGCGCAAAAGGAGGGGACGGTGGCATTGTACCCCTTCGCCTAGCTCCAGACGATCGATCCGGGATTGTTGGAGCTCATACATCTTGAGCTCCTCTCCATTGCGCAAGTGATCGCGAGCGAGGAGGAGGAGATTCAGCCACGATTGCGGACGGCGACGGCTCCGCGGAGAACGTACAACGTGGTCGTCATCCCGGATTACATTGCGCAGCGCGCGGAGAGGTTGGAGGACTTCCTGGAGGAAAAGCCGTTGCAGCCCCCCTCGTCATATCCCAGGCCGGCGCCCCTCAAGGTCCCCAAGAAGACGCCGAAGAGGAAGAGACGCCACCCGTCGCCGGGAACGCAAGGCAGCTGAATCGGTGGCGACGAGGAGGTGATTCAGCCCGCGCGTGCGCGGAATCTTGACCCCGTGCCCGGGAGTGCGGCGACACTTGTTAAGGAGACTGTCGTGCCATCGCCGCCCCTCCCGCGCGTGCCCGATCTCAATCTTGATGGAGTCGGGCCATCATCAGCCGCAGCAGCCGGAGGAGGGAGCCGAGTGGGATTACCGGATCCCGTATCCAGACCCCCCGTCCTCGCGGGACCTTTCCGCTTCCGCCAGCCACCCCGGGATGCCCCGGTCATTGACATTAGCAGTTCCTCCGAGCCGGACAGTCCATCCGACCGAGGTGGATTTCATGGTGGAGCCCACCACCATCAGGCTCGAGGCCATCGTGGGGGCGCCGCGCCCTGATCTGGCATGGGAGCCATATTTGACACCCCCATTTCACGGGTGTATTGCGGCGCGACTGGCTGGGACGCTCATCTATGAGACCGGGCAGCGTCCCAATGTGATGTACCACTTCCTTGTCTTCGCGGCGCAGAAGCGGGAGCAGTGGCCTTACACCGAGACTCGTGTGGTGATGACGGGTCCAGGGCCCCAATCGGTGCGTAAGCGTTGATGCAAGCGGTGGCGGATCTGGCGCCACTTGTCCTGTCTCATGTGCCGGGGGCCTTCCTCTATCCCTCGTTCGTCCAGCACCACTTCCATGAGGAAGATGCACCGACGACTCCCGCGGCAATGGCCGCTTTTCTGCCACCTATTCCGCCCCCTCTCAACCCCGACGTCGATCACTTCCTCTGATCACCCTCGTCTACCTCTCCCCTCTTCTCTCCTTCCCCTTCTGATCATCATCTTCGTCTCCTATGGCATTACCCAAAGTTTGCACGTCGAGACGCGTTGTGTAAAAAAAAAAAAAAAAAAAAATGCTTTTGCTTACCGATCGGGCCAGCTGACGATGAAGAGGCCGCCCGATCGGATGTATACTATGATGGAGGATGCAAGATGCATCCATGTAGATTAGGAAGATGATCGGGCCAGCTGACAATGAAGAGGCCGCCCGATCATCTAAGACATGATGACCTCAGCAGTCGGGAGACTGCTAATTTTTTAGAACCCCCTGCGTATCATAGATGTGATAAGCTCAGACCCGTACCGCACGGCTTGCCGTATCCCTGAGGAAAAATCCTCCGGAAGCCCCGAAGTGCGGATGCGGACAAAAAGGGGTTTTTCTTTCTTTTTGCTTTTGTTTTCTTTTAAAACGGCTTTTTCATTTTGTTTGGTTAATAACTCCCGCGCGGGCGAATAGCGGCCGTGCTATGTAAACCAAGAAACGGTTTCGGTTGGGACTTTTTGAATTTTTTTTCTCACGCACGCGCCTACGCTCTGATTTCTTCGCGCGTCTCGCAACCCCGTTCCTTGCTCTGCATTCCCGCGCCATCTTCCTTTCTTGCTCGCGCGCACGACTCTTCGTCTTCCCCTACACCCCGCTTGATCCTTGCCCCATCTTCCTCCGCAAAGTGATTGGCTGCGTAGTTGGGATGCTCGGATCAATGTGGATAGCGGGAAACCGCGCGCCACTTGAACGGACACCCCAATCACGTAGGTCCATGCCATCCCACGGGTCGAACCCTCTAACTCCCCACCTTCCTCCTGTCCTGGTCATCTACAACCTGCGTGGCCCTCACCTCGCGCCGACAACCCGCCGCCTCCCACGCTATAAATTTGCGCAACCCTCTCCTCTCTCTCTCTTTGATCTCGGCTGCAATGTTGCGCGAGCTATGCGCGAAGTCCGCGGCGCCGAACAGTGGGCCCGTGGTAGTCTCGGGGCGAAGCAGTCGGAGGGACTGAGCAGTGGTGGGGATTGGACGCCGGCCGCGGCAGGGCCTTGTGGCTATGGTGGTCGGTGGTCTTGGGAAGTTTTGAAGGCTGCGCCTAGGGGCGGCAGTTAATTGAGAATTTTTGTATACAAGAAGGACTCGCTTTTATCTCCATGTCTGCTTTGTCTATGCATGTCGTGTGTGTGAAGCCCCGAGTGATGGGAGTTGGTTGTGCGCATGAGTGATGTCGAAGGTCCATGGATGATTAGATGTCCTGTCAATGGTTGTGGATTGCATGCATGTATGTATGTATGCACTCGCCCGGGCGGGGATGGGGAAACTGAACTGGGGGACTGTCTGCTTAGGGGTACGAGTGTGTTGATCCGGTTGCTCCCCTCCCCTCCGCAGCCTTTCCTGCGCTCGCGCGCGGGTTCGGCGTGACTCACACTCTCTCTCTCCCTCTCTCGATCGCCTTCCTTTTTGAACTGATAGTCATCACTTTTGGAGCTTCTCGTCCCCATACCGGTGACGTCAACCACCGGCGTCCTCGCGGACGGTCGACGCCCCCGCCAGGGGAGAAAGCTTAAATTTCATCATCTTCCCTCGACGCACTCACTTTTGGAAGAGAAGAGTTGCGTCGATTGTTGTATGGATTCGGTGTTGGTTCGGATGACCGGGAACACAGGATCTTGCCCGTGTTCATCGCGTACCTCCGATCGTCTCCTCGCGCTACCGACTTTCCCCATCACAGATGACGACAGCGTCTACTGCGATGCGGACGTACGGCGCGCGCTGAGGCGAACGGAGCAAGTGTGTTGGAGAGACCCGCCTCGGGCTTGTGATATAAGGGGGAACGGGTTTGTATTGATTGAGCGTTTTGATTCCCCGACTCTAATATTGCCTTATACGGGCTTGACGGTGTTGCCCTGGTCGGCCGCTCACGCCGCTTGGCGGCCGCAGTTTGATTGTCGCTGGTGTCGCCAGGGGGACTCGTGTTCTTGGCGACGGCTGGTCCTGGGTTACGAGGGAGCGACACGTTTCCCCGAGCTTTCCCGTAGTGCGGGGACACTGCCCGTGCAATTTCGAATTCAGATGTCGGCGAGTCCTCCCACCGCTTTACCCTCCCGGAAACTTTCGCGCGGACTCTGTGAGTCCGATGCCGAGGCTTGAAGGCCTCGAACCAACCACATCCATCGCAAAAAAAACGAGGGTTCGGCCACTTTGCGAGGCCGATGATGAGGCCTGAAGGCTTCGAACCCACCACCTATCCCCCAAACCCCTGACGGTCGAAGCTTTGTCTTCCGCCGCCATGCCCCTCTCCCCTTGATGCCTTTTTCCGTCCCGATGCCCGACGGCCGATCATTTTCGCGGAAACCTTTTTGATTTTATCATTTCGGAGTGTTCCGACCCCCACGGGACTCTGCGACGACAGTTCGACTCCGGGGAAAACCTCTGGCACGAAATGAGGGCCTCCCGTTCCGACCGGGAGACTCAACCCTTACGGCCAAAAATCCTCGGCCACGCCCCTCCTAGAACTCTGATTGGCGACCCCGTACGGGAAGCCGCGAGGGGGCGTGAGGTTGCGTATCACAGGCTTTCGATTTTCATCTGACAACTTTCGAGAAATGCCTTGGTTCGAAAGGCTGTGTGGCGAGCCCCTATATTATGGGGAAGCAAGGCGCGGGTGACAGAAAAAGTTTGTGAAATTCAATGCATTTGAAAGTGGAAACACACACACACACAAAAAAAAAAAAAAAAAAAAAAAAAACCGTTTCCACAGTCCAGTCCAGTCAGGGCGCAAGTTGCAAATGCACGGGGGAGTTAGGAAGTGCATTCTAGTCGGCCATGTGGAGGGGCACGCAGAGGCCCTGGAACAGGCCTGCAGGAGTGAGAAATGGCCTGCGTTCCAAGAAAAGACAAAATAGAGAAATGGACAGTGCTCCACTGGTCTGCCCCTGAGGCGAGTGACTGCTGCGGGGAGTTCCTGATGATGGGCCTGCATAGCGGGCAACACACCCAAGGGGGGAGGAGAGAGAGAGAGAGAGAGAGAGAGAGAGAGAGAGAGAGAGAGAGAGAGAGAGAGAGAGAGAGAGAGAGAGAGAGGTGCCAAAAATCACGATTCCGCACCTCTCCGCAAAGAAGTCCAGATTTCTCTGATATTTAGCACCTGAATCTGGATGTCCTTGTGCAGAATTCGGACTTGTTGCACCTATCCTCAAGCACTCCCAG